GACTTCTTGTGGTGACTTGTTGAGAAGGCAGATTATGTGACTGGCGTGTGGCAACAGCCTGTTTTAGCTTTCGCCATACAGACTTTGTTGTTGTCTCGCAAGTGGACAGCGCCATCTTCGACGCCGAGCCACAATGCATCAAGTGACCCCACTTGTGTTCTACTATTGCGACGTCTCTCCCCGCCCCTGTCGTTATCGCAGTCACACTGCCTCCCTCCCACCTCGCCTCTCCACACCGCTCTCTATCCACACCACCAATTTTGCATACCTTAGCTGAATTATTTCCATCCCAATTGGCGTTTCCCTCAGAGTTCCGCTTCATCTGACCTCTTTCAGCCATTGCAACTAACTAACTGAGAGCCTTGAAACCTAACGACTGTATCCTCCATACTTTCTCCTTTAAAGAAGACGAAGGATAGATAGTCTCTTAAAACCTTTCTCGCCTACAGGCTTACATCTCATCAATTGACCTAGGGTTATTTAGGCACGCACACAATCTCGTGCATGCTTTTTCCTTGTAACAGTAGGCCCTGACGAACCTGAACTAGCATAAGGCTGCGTTATAACGAGATGTATCGGTCCTCATCTGGTGAGATCGACTAACGAATCTCTTCTTCATTCACTATCATACCAAATTAGAGTCCCCCTAATAATTTATCTGAGTTATGGTCGGTATTGAGTACACACTTTAGTTACCACACGCACAAATCGAAGCCATACTCGAGTAGATGAGATTTAACCTAACGACTCAATATCTAACTATTTATATATATATATATATATATATATATATCATGTAGATACTTTCATACATAGTGAAAGTCAGTACAACAATGCATAGAATATGAGTGTGCCGTTGCGGTTTCGGAGGAGGGCCGATTCGGATAACCGCTGCTACTCTTCTGAAGTACACTTTTCCTCTGGACGAGCATGCCCTCTTTGGGGGCAAATTGAGCGGGCGACAAGCTAATGGCATTAGCTGAAACTGGGACTTGTCTTGGCTTTGACGCTGACACAGTCTCTTCTTACGCAAATATATGAAGAAAAACTAGGTTTCCAAGACTGCCATGACTTTCCATTTCGAAGGAACAATTGGTTGGAAGATATATGTAATGTACCAC